ATGACACAGCGACAATCATGCAAGCAAACAAATAATATAGTTAAAGCAAATCAAGCAGGTAAGAAGGCAAAAGAATTCACAAACCATGAGTTGGGATTTGTACACACAAGCAAGGTTGGACAAGTAAACACAGTAGGTCTGTCTAGTAGTTAAGGCAGATCTGGACTGAGTCAAGTCAAAATGCAAGCCATCCTATTTTATTGGCTAAGAAAAATATCCCAACATGCATTTTGTGTCCTTCCGACTATAAGAGTGGTAGGGGGGAAACTTCTGCAATTGTTTCCCGCCATTAGAAAAATCAAAAACTTTTCTCAAAGTTACAGATAATTTCTGTTAACACATTGGCAATTGACCTAGAGAAGCAAAAGCCATATTGTTTGAAAGAAGACCATGCAAAATGAGATGCTTACCTAATTCAGAGTTGATTGGAGCCTCTAGTAATGTTCTAAAAAGGTTAAACTAATAGAATGATAATTCAAGTGATCAGAAGGTTCACTAGAGTTCTTAAAAACAGGAACTAGAGAAGAGGAATTCTAACAGGCTGAAAAGTAAGATTCAGCAAGACATTTATTATAGCGTGTAGAGAGAATAGACGTTGGTTCAGGAGCACATTTTCTGATGAGCATTCCTCCTTAGTATCTTGACCATACGAATTGTAGCACTAAATTGGCAACTAGGTTTCATCATTTTACTGTTGAAATAACAAGATGCAACCATAAGTTCTATTCTAATATTTTTATTCCTTACCTGTGGAACTCACTACTAATTTCTTACTTCTCTGCCACCTACAGTCTTCGAATATTTAATTGCAACTCACCATCTTTTGTCTTCCTGAATTTTAGAAATTTCAACTCTCTTCTTGATGTTAAATATAACTTTCCTTTTTGTTTCCATTTTCTTTAAAACTTTGTTGTTGCTCACATATTCCATCCATGTTATCATCAGCATCCTTCTGTAGAACCACATTTTTGTTGCTTCAAGTCTCTTCATCTGTGAGAAGATTGTCCAGCATTCACTGCTATATAGGAGGACAGATATCATGTAATAGTTCAATACACTTTGTTTCTAATAAAACTTTTCTGTTTCTTAATACTCTGCTTAGCTTTTGGAATGCATCTTTGGCTATCCTAATTCACTTTCATATTTCACTTTACTGGCCTCAAACAAATTAAGAAAATCAAAATAACAACATTACAAAATATGAAAAAGCTTCCCCATTTATTTGATAGAATTAAGAGCAAATCATTTTGGGGATTGTTATATTCTGTGCTAATAGGAATATATACTTGAGAAACAAGGTGGATAAAATAAGTAAAGGTTTATTGTAAAAACCAGTACAATAAGAATAAAGGTAACAGTTATGAACAAGGTAATCACAAATCAATCCATTAGTGTGTGCCACTATTGGAAGGTTGGTAGTTCTTGCATAAGTCTGAGTCATACTCAACAGATCCCAGCTGTAGTCTGTTGACTTACAGATACTCATGGGTAGTTACTACCGGGGGTGAAAGGTTATTCTATTACATCAGGGATATATTAAATGGTCAAAATAGGACTCTTAAAATCATGTCTCTGATGGATATATTCCTTGCCAAAGAAAAAAGATTGACTAAAATTCAGATGAAGAGACTATATACTCAGTTGATCAAAATCTGATAGCTAATTGTATATAAATAGTTATGCAGGATTTAGAGATATGAGAATAAAATAATCATGTGAGCTTCTAATTTGCCACTGTTGGAAAGAGTATAATAGCTGCCTTTAACACAACAATGAAGTAGAAATGAGGAGAAGCTAACAAAAGAAATGCACTCAAATTTTAAAATATGAAAATAGTTTCAAAATTGTCTTAATAGAAATTTAATGGATAGATAAAATTATTTTCTTTTATAAGGTATATCTGGAAAGTATGCAGCTGCTTAGTACTAAGTAAAAACAAAATAGCCTACTTAGAACAATGGTGATTTAGTCTCCTTCGAATTGTTACACTGTGTAACAAAATTTTGACTTTTTGTCTTTGGTCAGTAAGTATTATTTTCTAATTGATTCTGTCTAGAAAGCAAAGGAAATGACTATTATTACCTTCAAACTTTTTGTGATTTGGACAAAAGGGAAAATGGAGCCATGAAACTTGCAATCCTATGAATTTGGAGGAAACCAACTGACCACTAAAAAATTGCTTTCTCTGCATGGTAGACCCTTTCAAACATCAAGCTGACAAGAATGTGCTTGCTACCATATATCCAGACCTTCCGTCATTCATCGCTCAAGTGTCACACTGCCCTGAGCTTCCAATATTCATTGCTCCAAACAGAGAGCAGCAGTCTTCAGAAGAGAACAGCAATTCAGAAGAGGATGAAGTCATTGATCCAGATTACAGAGGTGAAGCTGAAGAGAGAAACTTGTACTACTTCAACCAAAAAGACCTCAATGACCTGATCAGAACTTTTGACATTGAGACTCAAGCAATGAAATTTGTTAGATGAAAATGTGCAAGTTGCAGGTCAGAGAAAGTGTAACCAGTATTTTTCGAGCTTTTTCACCTGTCAAGAGAGGCTTTGCTTCTGCCACCATGTGACCGGTCAGTTTAAGTCGATTTGAATTGCCTGTAATCCCAGCAAGTGGCACCTCTTCATCAAAAGCTCATTCAGGAGCTTCAAAGCTGTGCTGCCTCATAATGGGAACATGCATCCATCTCATCCTCTGGCTCACTCTGTACATCTCAAAGAAGAATACATTAGTATCACGATCTTGCTAGATGCTTTGAAATATGTAAAGTATGGTTGGGAAGTTATTGGAAACTTCAAAATGGTGGCCTATCTGATAGGTTTCAAAGGTCGCTTTACCAAGTTTCCATGTTACCTTTGCCTTTGGGACAGTTTGGTCACAACAGAAGGAGTTTTAGGAGGAACAACATCAAATGGGGGCCATTGGACCCTGAAAGCATTGTTTCCTCCACTGCATCTCAAAGAAGAATACATTAGTATCACGATCTTGCTAGGCAGGACTGGTTATTGGAAACTTCAAAAACCTATCTGATAGGAGTTAGTTTCCATGATAGGTTTGCGTTTATGACCTATTGATAGGTTTTGGGACAGAACACTGCAGAACACTACCACAGGCAGGACTGGTCACAACAGAAGGAGTTGAGTATAGGGAGGAACAACATCAAATGGGGGCCATTGTTGGACCCTGGAAAGCATTGTTTCCTCCACTGCACTTAAAATTAGGCCTCATGAAATAATTTGTCACAGCTCTAGATAAGGACTCTCCAGCCTTCAAGTATCTTTAAGGCTTCTTACCTAAACTGTTTGTGGCAAAAATTTAAAGTCTGTGTCTTCATCAGACCACAAATAAAGAAGATTATAGAGTGCAAGGAATTCTTCAAGAAGCTCACTAGGACAGAAAAAGCCACATGAAAAAGCTTTGTTGTGGTGTTTCGGGGCTTCCTGGGAATCAAATGGCTGAAAACTGTGGAGCTTGTTGAAACTCTGGTGAAGAACTATAGAAAAAACGGGCTGCAAGATGTCCCTCAAAGTCCATATCCTTGACGCTTATGTTGATAAATTCAAGTGGTCTTTGAATGCTGCTGCCATGTATTGTATAACAAAAACATAATGGGAGATTATATCTGGAGGCTGATTTGTGAAAGTGATTGGAATTTCGAATTAACCCTTTATTTCGTCCACTGGAGTAGATTGTTCTAGTTCCACATGTCATGCCTCTTCCGGATGTCTCAGTTATTTCCCTTTAACTCAATTCTTTTTTGGTTCACTACTGCTATCCCAGATACTCATTACTAAATCTTTTGTGGTTTCTCTTGTGTAATCCTAGAATAAATAAAATCTACTTTTTGTTAATGAGACTGTTCACATTCACCATTTTTTCCAAATGGGAATAGGTAAATTTCAGAAATATCATTATCCTGGTTAAAAAAGCAAAGTTTGAAAGAAATATTAGGCACTTTTCATATTTTCTAAGTGTAAGTAAATAGAAAATAATAGTTGCTAACCAAGGACAAAAATCTTGTTACACAGTGAATTATCCATAGGACCTCACTCATCTTTTCAAAATAGTCTGCTATGTCCAAATTTTGTAGGATGATTGTTATGGTCCAGGTTAGGACCAAGGAAGAACAACACAAACACAAGAGTAGAAATAACAAAGGTATATTACATGAAACAATGATACAAGATGTGGAAGGTGTTAGTATGACTGTCAGTCTGGTTTGGAGTGAACTACTATTGGCTTGACTTGATTTGTCCCTCTCTCTTGAGAGGCATAGTATACATAGTGTTAGGAATAGTTCATTCTGTAGTGAAAGGTAAGGACCCATGACAATAACTATAATTTCCAAACTTCAAATCAGGACAGTTTTCAGTTTTTATTATAGGTTTATATTCTTGTATAATAAAGTGTTTTCATGAAGAGTACTTGTTACACTTCAAGGCTGAAACATACACACAAAAATACAAATACTGATAACTTATATCTCTAGAGGAACATTGGAACAGACCTCTGGTTAAAGCAAGACATATTGTAAGCCTATTTTGGGGATTGCCATCAACTGACTTGTGTTCTCATCAGTTATATACAGCATTTCAACATTGATTTTAACTTTAGGAAAAGTCAAGAATTTCATATAGCTAAATCTAGACTGTTGGTGGGAAGTTAAGGGTTGACTGACCTGGTTAATATAATATTGTAAAACAAAAACCCCTGCATGAGATATGAAGAATCTATACAAACAGTCATTGTGAATATGACAGTCATATCAAGCTCACTCAGTACAATTTTAATGTAGACTGAGTAACCCAACAGGAGAGTATTTGTTTTATATTGGTTGGCAAGTTACATCAAGTTGACACAATTGGTTCTCAAGATATTTAAAATGGCTGGGTATATTACAAACGGATTTTGTATTTTTCTTTTTTTATTTACTCTAGTTCCTTGGTCTTTTGTGATTTTTCCATTAAAATTTTACTTTGCTTTTTATTCAGAGCTTTCTACTATTGCAAGACTTGCCATGGGGTTGTGACAGATGTCAGAGCCATTAAGAAGTGTAGGTGTAGACCAGGTAAGATTGGAAAAACATTCTGATCTTCATTTCCAAATAATCTCAATGCCAAATGAATATAACAAATTTAGTTGAGTCAAATTGAACTAAATTTATAATCAGCTTGAAAGATAGCTTTAATATTTTTTTTATTTATAATCATTGGGAAATCTTTCTTATTCTAAATGCTTTTTAACTCTGAAATGATTTTTTTTTACTCTGAAGATCAATCAGAATCCAGATCTAAGTGGGTTAATTGTCTATTGTTTAACATTTTTTTGTAATGTTTTTATTGCAGCTTTGTTTATTCATGATTCTGAGATATTGAAAAGATAGTTTACTTCTTTAATACACCACTTTTTGATGCACCAAGACACATCATGTGTTTTCCTAGGGTCATTGGGTGTTTTAGGTGTTTCAACAATCAAACACCTTTACTTAGGCAAGCCAGCCAGAATTGATCTCACCCCAGCTTATATCCAGGTAGCATGAACTTATCTATCACTCTTTTATCCTGATCCACAGCCATCTTGAAGCACCTTCTACTGCTTTAGTGGCTGGCGATGAGCCTCAGCATCCCACTTCACTTGGCTGGGATGAAGGTGGAATGAGATATTTTTAAGAATATTGTATATTTATAATAAATTATGAGAGATCATTTCATTTTTTATAAAGACATTATTTCACATTACTGCTATTATTTTGCCAACAAAAGAGAAAAAATATGTCCATGAAAAAACATATTTTAAAATACAAAAATACATTTATTGATATGCTGGAAAATAAAATTTATTCTTACATTATTCACTTAATTATTAACTAGTGATGCAATGTATTGATGAAATACAAATCTGTTTATTGTAATATGAAACACTTAAAGCTTATATAAACAATTTTTGCTTACAGATTAATAGTAAAAAAACAAAAAGTACCAGAAGATGTTGAAAAGTTCTTAGTCCAACTAAGAAGTTCTCCCATTTGGTCAGATTTTGGGAAGTGATTTTTGGGCTGATAAATTTTAATTATTCTTTCATATGTGGGGAAATATAAGTAAACTTTCATTAAGGCAGTTTTGTATTTTCTTCATAAATCTATCACATAACTAAAAGGATAATAATAATCCTGGTAGTTTCTACATGTCTATTTAACGGATAATCATCTTTGTATTTGACCTCTGGTTTTCAATCACTTGAAACCCAATTTAACAACAGGCTTTGAACATTTTTGCTAAATTATAATCCATTAAAAACCATATGAAGAAAAGATTATATTTTTACTTATATTTACTTCTTTTGATGACCAACACATTTAATATTTAAGTTAAAACACTCCATTCATTGCCTTTCAGGATTGCAATCACAATTTAAACAAAAAGTTAACTGAAATTCAAGTAACCTGTAAACAAGAAAGTTTCTTAGAATGCTGGCCATAATTTTAAAAACATTTTGTCCACCAATGGTTACTTTACTCTTAGAGCCTTATGAACTGGCTTCAGTATTTGTGAACTTTGTTTTGTTGTGTTGGGTTAATGACTGTCTTGATTCAATTTGACCTCAGTTCAACCAAAATCATTTCAGCATCAGTTCATTTTTAAAATTAACCAAAGATTTACACAGCTCAGTGCTTTATGTAACACAGAAAGCAATACTAATGACAATGAGAACATAATTTAAAAGATTTTAAATTGCATGGTTTTTAATTAAAATGCTGAATATTTCAATACTAGAGCAAATTAATGAAGTACATTTAAAAAGTAAATTGCTTCTTCAGAAATGTTATAAAATCTGCACTAACCAAAATAGAATGATGAATGATAATACTTAATCTTATCTAAGTTTACTACCCGCTTTTGAATGCTGCTTATATTTTTATTTATTCAACCATTTCAAATTAATAATTTCAAATCATTGTTTGAAATGCATGGTGAAGGTTTTCCAACAACTTTAAAGCTCCTTGCTATATTTTTTTCAATTTTGTATATTTTCTCTTGAATTCACTAATCTTGGCATGTGGATATGGAAGTTGTTTATTGTACATTTTCTTTGTATTTTTCTCACAGTGGCTTTATTCCGGAAAGGAGCGTCAGCAGTATTAGGTATAGTACCTACCATAACTTCTGTATTTAGAAGATAATTAAGTTTAGAGAGATTTCTAAAACTTCTGTTTGCATGATTATATGTTGATGACTTTAAAAATCCTGTCTAAATAATTTCTATTCTTTTGCTTTTATTTTATATATATTGTATAAATGAAAAGTGTATATTGTGTTTGTTAATAAATGATATTACTATTGTGTTCAAGTTCAGATGAAATGACAGAATTATAATAGTATATCAAAAGTATTTTCATTTTTTAAACAACTCATTAATTTTTTTTTTAAGTTCCTGTAATGATTTGCATATAGAATTTTTTGATGATTCTAGTACTTTGGAAAGTTTTCAATTGCTGTTTGTCAGATTCTTTCCTACCTTACATTTTAAAGCATCATAATTGCAAACTGATGATTGTCCATTTCTGTTTTATTTCAATGGACAAGACATGAGCCATAAAATACTTAAACTTCCACTTTCCAAATTCTGTGAATACCTTCTGCAGTTTTAAGGCCCAGTTTAAAATAATGCCTCAAAATTTTCAGAATCTAAATGCCTTTATCTGGTGTTATAATATATGTGAAAAAAAATGTAGAGATGAATAATACTGGCCAGTTTTGTTCCTGTGTATTAAAGTGGATTTAAAGGGTTGTCCAAACATAGATCCCTTTTTTAGATTCCAAGATGTCTCTCTAATGTAAGTGCTTTTACACTGGAAGCATCTTATTTATAGTAAAGATCCTAGTGTGTGTGTATATATATATATATATATATATATATATATATATAAAGGAGTGCTTAAAAATACTCAGAAAATCAAAAATGTATTTGAAAATAAATTTTGATGTTTCATTATTTGATCAGATTTTGGTAAGTGAATCAGGCCAAGAAATTTTCAGCACCTCCTTAAATATTAAAATTTAGTAGAATCAATCTTTAACTGTATATGTGAAATAAAATTTTGTAATAAAGGAAAATACTTTTGATACACTAAGCAGTTATACATTCACTTCTTTTTTCAATAATGTATGCAAATTAGAATTCTGTTCTAGTAAATGATTTTGTTACCTCAGCCCTATCCTTTATATTTTTGCATCCAATAAATTAGACTTAAATGCAAAAAGGCAAGAAAAAAAATAATAAAAAGAAATTCATTGAAATTACTATTGACACTAAAAAAAATAACTCTTTGCATTATAACTGTCAAAACATATTTTTTATTCAAATATACATATCATTAAACATATCATTAAATAACAAGTAAAAACTTAATAGTTTTACTCCTAAGGATGCCTACTTTGCTAAACACAAGTGTAATATTATATATTGTTTCATTATATATCTTTTTTTTTTTTTTGATATTTTTTATCACAATGTTGAGCCTCGTGTCCTTATGCCTTTTGAGGTGATCTGTCATGTTTATAATATGCAACCTTTTATCTGATCTTGGAAGCATACATTTCCTGTTATACACTTCATTCCAGCTATTCTTGTTGTTAGTTTAGAAAAATCCTTCTCACAGTGCCAGTATCTTGCTATAGAGCTGGTGTATATTTCTTAAACTCATGACCTTCCATGGAATGAGAATTGTTCCACAAGTATTCTTGTTTTCTAGATCAAATTCCAAAGAACACTTAAGTCATGATTTTTGGAACCTCAAATTACAGTTAGTTCTTTCTTTAATTAATGATCCCCATATATTATTAATATCTCTGCTCTATATACTGATATGAGGTTCCAGATAGAGCAGACACTCAAAGAAGACAAGACGGTACACTTACCAAACTTTTGTGATAAAAAACAACAAAGATGAGGAAATTATTCCAGATGAATCAATATCATAGTTGCAACACCTCATTAAAAAAAAATCAAACAAGGAGTCAATTCCAGTATTCTATTTTCTGTTATGTATTAGTTTCACCAGGTGATTTGCTTCCCCCTTTTCCTATTCCTTGTTTTATATAAAACCTAAATTATTAGAATTTTTTTCTTTTACACAAGAATAAAATATAAAAAGTAAACATTCAGGCATCTAATGACTACAGGGATAACAGCTTTTTATATCCTACTTCCTTAGCATGTAAGATAATTATGGGAGAGTGATTTGCTCAAGTGATAACTCACACACTCCCTCTTCTGTTAATTATTGTGATATGCCAAAGTATTTTTTCAAAATATCCGATAATGGATAGAGGACGGAGAAGTAGATTCATATTTTACCGAAGAGCATTAGATTGAAGTGAACATAAGTACCCTAAGAAAAAAATTGAAAAATTATTTTTTTCTTGCTGTTGTCTCATCAACTAACCACCATTTTGTGTATAATTTATCTCTATAATTTTATCTCTGCCAACAAAGTTGAACAAACATGAAATATTCATTTGTGTTTGTCTCCCCACAATATTTCCAGTTCTTGGTAACATTTTAATGACATTTTGTGGAAGGGTATGCCATAAAACAAGGAATGATTAAATCTAAGGGCAAATCCAGAATTTATCTATTTTTATTTTCTATTTTTTTAATATATGGTTTTTAAAATGGATTTTTTTAATCTGATATTATTTATTAATATAAATATTATTTTAGTGGGTACACATGTTTTGAGTTGCTATCCCTATTTTTGATTTTTCTTAAACATCAAAATAAATAACAACAAGCCTAAATTGAAAAGTCCTTTAATAGGAAAATTGTGCCTCCTGACAGAAATCAAACTTTTAACCCTTTCTCCAATTTGTTCTTGGGAGAAGCAAGGTTCAAATTACCTATTTGTGTTGTGTCTTCTTTATGTGTCATCCCCTCAGAATGTAGGCAATCATGGCTCTCCACAATTTCCTGTCCCTTGCCACTCTAAATAAATTTTGTTTTTTCTTTATTTCTAAACCCTGTTCCACCATCCAATTTCTCAAGCTCATCAAGTATGTTATGCATTGTTTTCTTCTGCCCTTCTTTCTCTCAATCTGTCCTGTGAGTAACAGATTTTCCAAACCCTCCTTTCTCATTATATGTCCCATAAATTTCAACTGTCTCTTCCTGATGTTAAGTATAAGTTTTCTTTTTGTTTTCATTTTCTGTAAAATCTTGTCATTGCTCACATGTTCAGTCCATGGCATCTTCAGCATTTTTCTGCAGAACCACATTTCTGTTGCTTCAAGTCTCTTCATCTTTCAGGAGACACAATTTTTTTTTTTGTAGGATTTCTCAATCTAGGCCAGTGGTTATTAATTTCACTGTTAACAACTTAAACATATGTACTCACTAAAAATAATGTTTATTGTTTATTATATATATATATATATATATATATATATAAAATGACAATAGTCCAAAATATATAAAAAATGTTGAACTTAGTTATCTCCCTTGTCTTGTAGTTATCTATAAAGAATTCAGTTTTTAGTGGGAAAGTTTTCTCAGTGATTTTTAGTTGTTTCCTATATATCTGATTATTTATGAAATGATAAAAAAGGAATTCTTTTTAAAACCATTATTGACTAATCGCAGGTAATAATTATTCCATAAAAGAATTAAAATTTTAAGTATTCATTGTGAAATAGGAAATACTTTTTGGTACATTTTGAATAGTAGAAAACATATTAATTAAAAAGGAAACTATTACTGAAAATGTTTGATAACATATGAGAAATCTAATTTTCCTACTGTCTTTTGTTGTTTCATTATCAAGTGATAAGATATTTGTCTATTATTTCATTATTATAAACATTTTAAGAAAATTTAATCCCATTAATTTTTGACTAGTTTTATATTTTTAATCTTAATTTTGTTGCTTTTTTATCAATGCTCATCTCATCTTTGCATTCTACAAATGTTAAGTAAGCTGTTGGGATTGAAAATAAAGAATGAACTTGTTTCCCTTGATCCTAGGAACATGTCTGACATCTACAATACCTTACTGATTAGCCAATGAAACTAACCAGTAGGTGTTATTCGAACATTGTTGTATTGTACAATTTTTATTATCCTGTTTTTGCTCCACATCGGACAGTCAAAGAATAATTGTAAAAGCAATAAAAGCATTGGAAAAAAAGTCGGCAAAAATAAAAGGGAAAAATGGTCAAAAATTAATAATAACAGTTTCATCTTAGAATTTGGGATAACTAGAAATTTTACTTTTAATAAAATAAATTCAATAGCTTATAATGAAAATATTAAGTTTCAAAATTATTGTTTCTCTTAATACTTATCTTTTACATACATACATACATACATATATATTAGGAAATGGATTAAGTCCTACAATTATTTAATATATTTTCTGTTTATACATTATTTTTATAGATATAATTTATTTAAGTAAATGCTCTGTTTTTAATTAAACAGTAGTAATTATATTTACTGGTCTGAATGTTCAAGAAATTTTATAGAAAATAACTGCTCTCCAACAAGAATCAAGCTTGTAAACCTTTTGGTTACCATCATATAGCTTGATGTGTCATTACCATTCATCCACAGAGAAGTGTCTGGTTAGCAAAGTCTGAATTACTTTTTATAGACACACATCTTCAACAATTTTCTTGATCAATCATTTTTGCACACAAAACATATCTTAATATAAATAATGTCAACATATTATGAAATGGAATAATGAAACATCACAATGGTTACAGGTTTGAAATTTTATAGAAAATATGTGCTCTCTGACAGGAAGTCAGGGAGCACATATTTTCTACAAAATTTCTCAAACATTCAGGCTGATAAATGTAATTAATACTGCTTATTTAAAAATTAAATAAATTATATCTATAAAAATAAAATATAAACAGAAAATATATTAAATAAATATTATATATAAATTATATCTATAAAAATAATGTATAAACATAATATATTTTTATATATATATATATATATATAGTACATATATATAAGTGTTGGTGGTAATGAAACAGTATGCGATGTATAATAACAGAACTAAAATTGATACTAATAATAAATAGACATTTGTTACAACCTTGAGTTTCATACTTCAGGTACAGATTGAAAACTA